ATAAACAGTTTGTTGATGGAATGATCTTCAGTAATAAACAGTTTGTAGATGGAATGATCTTCAGTAATAAACTTTTTCTTTTTCTTATCATAGTTTGTAGATGGAATGATCTTCAGTAATAAACAGTTTGTAGATGTAATGATCTTCAGTAATAAACTTTTTCTTTTTCTTATCATAGTTTGTAGATGGAATGATCTTCAGTAATAAACAGTTTGTAGATGGAATGATCTTCAGTAATAAGCTCTTTCTTTTTCTTATCATAGTTTGTAGATGGAATGATCTTCAGTAATAAACAGTTTGTAGATGGAATGATCTTCAGTAATAAACAGTTTGTAGATGGAATGATCTTCAGTAATAAACTTTTTCTTTTTCTTATCATAGTTTGTAGATGGAATGATCTTCAGTAATAAACTTTTTCTTTTTCTTATCATAGTTTGTAGATGTAATGATCTTCAGTAATAAACTTTTTCTTTTTCTAATCATAGTTTGTAGATGGAATGACCTTCAGTAATAAACAGTTTGTAGATGGAATGATCTTCAGTAATAAACTTTTTCTTTTTCTTATCATAGTTTGTAGATGGAATGATCTTCAGTAGTAAACAGTTTGTAGATGGAATGATCTTCAGTAATAAACAGTTTGTAGATGGAATGATCTTCAGTAATAAACTTTTTCTTTTTCTTATCATAGTTTGTAGGTGTAATGATCTTCAGTAATAAACTTTTTCTTTTTCTTATCATAGTTTGTAGATGGAATGATCTTCAGTAATAAGCTCTTTCTTTTTCTCATCATAGTTTGTAGATGGAATGATCTTCAGTAATAAACAGTTTGTAGATGGAATGATCTTCAGTAATAAACAGTTTGTAGACGGAATGATCTTCAGTAATAAACAGTTTGTAGATGGAATGATCTTCAGTAATAAACTTTTTTTTTCTTATCATAGTTTGTAGATGGAATGATCTTCAGTAATAAACTTTTATCTTTTCTTATCATAGTTTGTAGATGGAATGATCTTCAGTAATAAACAGTTTGTAGATGGAATGATCTTCAGTAATAAACTTTTTCTTTTTCTTATCATAGTTTGTAGATGGAATGATCTTCAGTAATAAACAGTTTGTAGATGGAATGATCTTCAGTAATAAACAGTTTGTAGATGGAATGATCTTCAGTAATAAACTTTTTCTTTTTCTTATCATAGTTTGTAGATGGAATGATCTTCAGTAATAAACTTTTTCTTTTTCTTATCATAGTTTGTAGATGGAATGATCTTCAGTAATAAACAGTTTGTAGATGGAATGATCTTCAGTAATAAACAGTTTGTAGACGGAATGATCTTCAGTAATAAACTTTTTTTTTTTCTTATCATAGTTTGTAGGTGTAATGATCTTCAGTAATAAACTTTTTCTTTTTCTTATCATAGTTTGTAGATGGAATGATCTTCAGTAATAAGCTCTTTCTTTTTCTTATCATAGTTTGTAGATGGAATGATCTTCAGTAATAAACTTTTTCTTTTTCTTATCATAGTTTGTAGATGGAATGATCTTCAGTAATAAACAGTTTGTAGATGGAATGATCTTCAGTAATAAACAGTTTGTAGACGGAATGATCTTCAGTAATAAACTTTTTCTTTTTCTTATCATAGTTTGTAGGTGTAATGATCTTCAGTAATAAACTTTTTCTTTTTCTTATCATAGTTTGTAGATGGAATGATCTTCAGCAATAAGCTCTTTCTTTTTCTTATCATAGTTTGTAGATGGAATGATCTTCAGTAATAAACAGTTTGTAGATGGAATGATCTTCAGTAATAAACAGTTTGTAGACGGAATGATCTTCAGTAATAAACAGTTTGTAGATGGAATGATCTTCAGTAATAAACTTTTTTTTTTCTTATCATAGTTTGTAGATGGAATGATCTTCAGTAATAAACTTTTTCTTTTTCTTATCATAGTTTGTAGATGTAATGATCTTCAGTAATAAACTTTTTCTTTTTCTTATCATAGTTTGTAGATGGAATGATCTTCAGTAATAAACAGTTTGTAGACGGAATGATCTTCAGTATTAAACTTTTTCTTTTTCTTATCATAGTTTGTAGGTGTAATGATCTTCAGTAATAAACTTTTTCTTTTTCTTATCATAGTTTGTAGATGGAATGATCTTCAGTAATAAACAGTTTGTAGATGGAATGATCTTCAGTAATAAACTTTTCTTTTTCTTATCATAGTTTGTAGATGGAATGATCTTCAGTAATAAACAGTTTGTAGATGGAATGATCTTCAGTAATAAACAGTTTGTAGATGGAATGATCTTCAGTAATAAACTTTTTCTTTTTCTTATCATAGTTTGTAGATGGAATGATCTTCAGTAATAAACAGTTTGTAGATGGAATGATCTTCAGTAATAAACTTTTTCTTTTTCTTATCATAGTTTGTAGATGGAATGATCTTCAGTAATAAACAGTTTTTAGATGGAATGATCTTCAGTAATAAACAGTTTGTAGATGGAATGATCTTCAGTAATAAACTTTTTCTTTTTCATCATAGTTTGTAGATGGAATGATCTTCAGTAATAAACAGTTTGTAGATGGAATGATCTTCAGTAATAAACTTTTTCTTTTTCTTATCATAGTTTGTAGATGGAATGATCTTCAGTAATAAACAGTTTGTAGATGGAATGATCTTCAGTAATAAACAGTTTGTAGATGGAATGATCTTCAGTAATAAACTTTTTCTTTTTCTTATCATAGTTTGTAGATGGAATGATCTTCAGTAATAAACTTTTTCTTTTTCTTATCATAGTTTGTAGATGGAATGATCTTCAGTAATAAACAGTTTGTAGATGGAATGATCTTCAGTAATAAACAGTTTGTAGACGGAATGATCTTCAGTAATAAACTTTTTCTTTTTCTTATCATAGTTTGTAGGTGTAATGATCTTCAGTAATAAACTTTTTCTTTTTCTTATCATAGTTTGTAGATGGAATGATCTTCAGTAATAAGCTCTTTCTTTTTCTTATCATAGTTTGTAGATGGAATGATCTTCAGTAATAAACAGTTTGTAGATGGAATGATCTTCAGTAATAAACAGTTTGTAGACGGAATGATCTTCAGTAATAAACAGTTTGTAGATGGAATGATCTTCAGTAATAAACTTTTTTTTTCTTATCATAGTTTGTAGATGGAATGATCTTCAGTAATAAACTTTTTCTTTTTCTTATCATAGTTTGTAGATGTAATGATCTTCAGTAATAAACTTTTTCTTTTTCTTATCATAGTTTGTAGATGGAATGATCTTCAGTAATAAACAGTTTGTAGACGGAATGATCTTCAGTATTAAACTTTTTCTTTTTCTTATCATAGTTTGTAGGTGTAATGATCTTCAGTAATAAACTTTTTCTTTTTCTTATCATAGTTTGTAGATGGAATGATCTTCAGTAATAAACTTTTTCTTTTTCTTATCATAGTTTGTAGATGGAATGATCTTCAGTAATAAACAGTTTGTAGATGGAATGATCTTCAGTAATAAACAGTTTGTAGATGGAATGATCTTCAGTAATAAACTTTTTCTTTTTCTTATCATAGTTTGTAGATGGAATGATCTTCAGTAATAAACAGTTTGTAGATGGAATGATCTTCAGTAATAAACAGTTTGTAGATGGAATGATCTTCAGTAATAAGCTTTTTCTTTTTCTCTCCCTTTTTCTTCCCTCCTCTTCCCTAACTCCCTCCTGTTGTCCTCTCCATCCCTCCTTCTTCCTCTTCTCCCCCCTTTCTTCTCTCCTTTTTCCCTCCTATCCTCTCTTCCTCCTTTTCCTCTTCTCCTCTCTCTCCTGTCTTCTCTATCCCTCCTCTCCCGCCTCTCCCTTTTCTCTCCTTCCTCCCTCCTATCCTCTCTTTCTCCTTTTCCTCTTCTCCTCTCTCCCTCTCTCCTGTCCTCTCTATCCCTCCTCTGCCGCCTCCCTCTCTTCTCCCCTTCCTCCCTCCTGTCCTCTCTCCGTCCTACGTCCTCTTCCTCTCTCGCCTCTTTCCCCTCTATCTCTCCCTCTTCCTCCTCTTTCTCTCTCTTTCCCTTCTCTCCCTCCTCTCTTCTCCACTCTCTCTCCTGGAAGTGGTGATGAAAACAACGACGAGCAAATAATTTCAACTTTTAAATTTAGATGTTGAAGATGATGGGTTTCTTTTTGTAATTTTGAGTTGTAATGAATTTTTGCAACTTTATTCTTGAGCTAATAGTTCTCTTCTCAATGAATCATAAGCAGATGTATTACAATGGTCTTTTCGTTCGATCAACTATGTTGGCTTCCTTTCAATCTGATCTTCATGTTTTTGTGCAATTCGTGATCATATAGAATCTGTAGAAAAAACTCTTCAAGGTTATTTATTTCAGAAACAGTGTAGCAAATGGTGATAAAAGACAGCAGAAATCGGGAAATCTGGATCGTTTGGATGCTTTACATTGCCACAGGGAAAGTCTGAATCTAAATTTTGAAAAACAAGCGGAAATTTTCGAAAAACGGTTGAAAGAGGAAAGAGATCGAACAGATGCCGAAATGCGAAATGTGGCAGTTACGTAAGTATTACTATTTCAAATCATTCATACTGAGATTTCTATTTCTCTCTCTCTTTCTCCTTGTCTTTCCCTCTCCCCTAGTAATCCATAGTTCAAAAATCTCTTTTAAATAATTCATGCATATTTATTAATTCTTCGCTGCGATCAGTTGCTGAAAATGATTATTATGATTAATTATTTCTATAAATTGAAGATGAACGGGTTGTCAGCTCGCTTTTTTCAATTTTTTTTTTTTTCACATCGAAGCATTAAATTTTTGAACCAATTAAGTGATGAAATGGTTCTCACTATATGCTACAGAATAGTGGAATCACTTATTGCTCTTTTGGCGATATAGTTGACGATTATGCATTGTCTTGTGATGAGAGACTGTTTCTGAAGCTAGAATCTTTGATCAATGAAAACAGGAAGCAATGCAAACCTCTCTCGATCTTAAAATGGATAGTGTTATTCAGAACCTTCGATCAAAAACTGCCGATAATTTTAAGGTTGGATTTTATAGTTCTGTTAAATTTGTAAAACATCTGGGCTTTTGATAAAAAAAGAGAAAAATTTTTTTCGAATTGGCATTTAAACTCGTTTTATAAATTTTCAAGCTTTCATAAAAACCAGTGAATAATATTTATCTCAGCAACAGCAAACTATGAATTTACACGTTGTTTGTGATGAGGCATTGGCATTGGTCGTGGGGGTTTGCGGGATCCAGATGGACGTAATCGAGATCGTGAACGCAATGGTAATCGAGGATTACAACAACAACAGCTTCATAATAATAGTGGTAGGCGTTATTGTAGCGATAATCGTAATCGCATGCTTCGTTATAGAGATTATGATGATGATCGTTGATCTCGGCGTTACGAACACCGCACGATGATTTTAATCATAATCGGAGATAAAACGTGTTTTATTTTTTTTATATTTTGAAACATTTAAAAATGTGAGAACTTCGGCCAATTATTGGAATCTTAAACTGATTTAAAGCGGTTGTAATTTTGTAGTGTGAGATGAGTTCATTGTTTTGTATTTGTTTGAATTTAAAAGTTATTCGGTGGGCTTTGTGCTACAAAAGATGAGAATTTTAAATTGGCGCTGGGCTTCGCAAAGTTGGCACTATGCCAGGAACGTGGTTACTCTCATTTCTTGAAGTTCATATTTCTTCGTTGCTTTCTGAACGGTTCGGGTTTTCTTTACGGGTTTTGCAAGAGTTTTATTCCAGGTTTCGATTTGGAGAAGTCTATCACACGAATTCGTTCTTTATATAAATACATCCTTCACATCGGTAAGACTGAATACTTGTTGAAGGAGGAAAAATAAGGAATGAAACGAGGACAATCTTCAGCCTTCTGCATTTGGCCTGTTTTGTATATGCTAGAGATAGGTGGGGGTATTTATATATAGGGACGATGTTCTCATGTAATTTAATTCCTCGCATCATTACCATCTACTGTTTTAATTCAGTGGTTGCATTAGTTGTTTGTGTGTCCTACTAAAAACTTCATTTATGGAAAAGTAATACAACAAGAAAGTGACCATACACAAAATAATTTACTTCATTTCAAAAAATAAAACTAACTGCTTTACAAAAAAAAAAACTGGAGTAATAATCGAAAACTTTTAACTACCCACATACTAAAGAAATTTTAGGTTCGAAAGAATATTAGACTTTGATCAATACTTCATTAAATTGGAATTCAAATCAATAACTATAATCTTGTTTGCCGGTCAAGCTGTTGAATCCTTTAGATCTTAACAACTAAAATTCACTTTCGAAAACGAAAATAAATAAATAAAAAGGAAAATGGAAACAGTTAATAACAGGAAGGTGAGTGTTAGAATAATTACTTGCATGAGATGCAATTTGAAACACTTGTATTTCTTTAATAAATGTTCAATTAAGACAAATTTTTATATTATGGATTAATATAATTTTATTCGATATATATTATAAGTTTTTATTCGATATATAATTTTATTCGATATATATTACCATTAATAAACTAAAACTTATCTAACAAATCAAAAGAAACATAACTTTAAATATTAATTGGTAGAAATTGTATTGAATTTTTAGTAGCAATGTAATTCTTTTTTATCACAACACTATCACTGCTATGTTTGAGATAATTCTTGAACAAAATATGCTTTATTGAACAATTTGGCACAATGTATTACAACATATTTTCCACTTATTTCGATAAAATATCAGAACAAAGAGCATTTATTTAATAGATATCAATTTATAGATAAAAAAATACCTATCTTTCAATGGAAAAAAAAAAATCTTTTTAATGGAAATCTATCTTTTAATAGATTAAGTTATATCATCAAAATGACATTGAAATCCAAGTAATTAAAAGTAATATTGAAATTGAAATGACTGGATGAAAATCATGGAAACAGGAAATACAAATTCTAAAAATTTAATAAAAAAAAAAGAAGGAAAGGAAAGAAAGTAAACTACAACTGATCGAGAATATTTTTATTAAATTACTCCTCGCTATTCAAAAAAACAAAAATTTTGTTTTTATGTTACAAATTCTAAATGAAAGAAATCTCTATATACTTATTTTACGAGTAGTACTGGTACGAAGTAAACGCTATAACACATTTTAGCATACAATTTAGTTATAAAATAGCACATTAATTACATGTTAATATAATTTACAGGAATATTTAATAAGAATGTAATCCACATGATAATTTCAAAGAAATGAAAAAAAAACTTTTTTTCCTATAAATTAATGTAATTAATTAATTATAAAGCAGTACATTAATTACATTAGAACAGTGATTCAGGAGATAAAGTTAGATATGTATATGAATAGTAAGCAAAATATGAAAACACTTTGTTTCCATATTAAAAAAAAAAATAAAAAATAATACCCGAATGAATAGAAGTTCAACTTTTAATATGAAATAATGAAAATTGATCATAGTGGACCTGCACCAACTGTATTAAAAACATAATCCCATAAAACAGTCGATATACCAAAAGCTAGAAAAAATAATAATAATGAAGTTTTCCCCGATAATACTATTAGTTTTAAATGGAAAAATGGAATGAGATTTCGGAAAAAATTGTTTTATTTTTTACAGTGTATATAAGATTAAATCAAAGCAAGAGTTCTTTTTATATTGATTATTTTGCGTTTTGCAGTTCGACCAGTTATTGAATTATGTTGTCGAATTAATTTATGTTATCAAATTAAAATTATTTTTTAATAAGAAAAGGAAAAAGTATTTTCGGATTAAAAGACAGCAAGTAAAGATTACAAAACAACAAAAGATTAAAGAAAGAAAATATACCCAAATCGAAATGCTTGAAATGATGATTATTATGATAGACTTTTCGAAAGTGTAGATTTGTTCCTGGTAATGGATCGGCATGATGAAAATAATAATGTGAACAATCGTAAATGATATAACCAAACAATTTACCAGCTCCAAAACAACAAAACAAGTCGTATGGTAGTAATGAAGTATATAAATAATAAAAAAATGCAACAATTGGAGCTGCCGGCACAGGTGGAAAAACCAAACGATCACCATCCATTGGTGTCTGAAAAAAGTTTGCTTATAAATGCATTAAATTCTTTACCTAATGTTAGGAATTATTTGTCACTTTATATTTAATTCATCGCTCCAATGAAAAATGTTAGAGTTAATAAGACTAATAAAACAAAAAGTATATGTACTTAAAGACTTTCGCATCATCGGAATACATAAAAAATTTTAAAGGAAAATTTTCAAATGCGATCACTGCTGTAACAGTATGTGGGAATAACATTTACAAAAAAGAAAAAGGAAAAAAAAGAGGAGAAAGAAAAGGAAAAATAAATAATAATTGGGAATGAAAATTAATGCGCATGAAAATAATTCGAAAAAAAAATTCCAGAACTAATTGAAACTCTAACTTTATGATGCAAACCATGTAATAGGAAATGCAAAATAATTTGAGCGCATGATTCTGGATTAGGCTTCCAGTGAAATGCAAAACGATGAAGAAGATATTCCAGAAGAGTCCATGCAAGAACACCTAATGTAAAAAGGAACGTCCAAATAATGAGGCCGTACAGAAATCCTGTAGAGAAATAAGATCAAAAAAAAAAAACGGAAATTTATAAAAATTATAATATCAAGCTACTATATATTATCCAGCACATCAAATTTCTTAAAATCTCATCTTGAGTAAAGTTGCATGATCAAAACACGAGCTGGTTATATCTTCGTATAAAATATTATTTATATAAAGTAAAATAGAGAAAAATATTTCACATCAATTTCATTTAATGTAAACATTAGTTTTTCTTTTTTTTCTTTTTTTTTTTTAACAACTAAAACCTAAACAAACATTCAAGAAAAAGTGTCGACATTCAAAAAACAAATATAATTTGAGACTGACAATAAAAATCACCATAGTCCTGGAAAATCATTGAAAAAGCGCGTAGTGTAAAGATAATCACCAAAGGTAACCAAACAAGTGGTACCACCCACCAACTTGTCCTAGTCATATTTTCCAAAATATCTGATTCAAATAATCGAAGTGTTCCATCGTATGGTTGATGAATCCACGTCCAGTATCGATCACCCAAATAGCCAACTTTACTTAAAATTGGCTTATCAGATAACAATTCATCGTCTCCCTTCAAAAAATGAACATTATGAATTTGAAACATCAAATACAATTATCACACTGTGACCACTTATCAAGAAATATTCAAATTTCAGATTGGAATATCTTTGGAAACGAACCAAACTAGTTAAACATTACGAGAAAAAATTAATCAGATTCAGAATTTCTAATATGTGAAATTTTAAAGGTTTCTTTTAATATGGGAGAGGCATAGAAATTTTCAACAGAATGAACTTTAAATAATAGTTACTACTTATTATAATTTAAAATGATAATCTGCAGTGATAAAATCTTCATTAAACGAATCTGGCAATATATTTTTTATTCAAGTTTTCCCTTATTTTGTTTGATTTTCATCATCAATAAATTATCATTTTATATATTAGTAAAAAGACAAATGCTCATCCTTTCGTTGATTACTTTCAATTATAGCTTATAATTTGAACATAACAGAAACAAAGAAAAAAATTGCGATATTATTATTATTAACACAAAAGTTATTCGTTATTTACGGATTATTTACAAGAAAATAATCAAAATTACATATCTAAAAATTATTTAGTATTACGAAAAACAAATATTTATTGTTTATTGAAATATTTCGTATGAAAAGTATAACATATAACAAGTAAGTTACGATCAAAATACAACAAACCTGATAGCAATTATCAACGGAATATTTTTGAAGCATTCGATATGCAGCAGCTGAATGTGTATGTTTAACCCCAAGGATACGCTTAGTACCATTCATATATTCATCAACATTTTCACCTGCTAAATGTTTAAGTACCTAAAATAAAATATCATAAAAATTTGCTATCATTATATTACAGAATGAATTACATAAATATATTCTATCAATCTTTAGAAATATATTATTATTACCTGAAATTATAATCGTATCACTATGTTAATTAAACACTTATAAAATAAATATCATAAACATATTCTATCAATCTTTAGAATGTTTATTACCAATACCTGAAATTATAATTATACCACTATGTTAATTTCCTACTCTTCCTCTTTTCTCCCAATATATTCCCACTTATCCCTGATTATTTTTCTTTGATAAAATGTTTGAAAGCAACATAAAAAATTATTTTTTCACCGAATATATCATATCGCTTCGGGTATGATATATTATTCGAGCAACTCAGAGTAATTTTACTAAAATATTTGATTCTATAAGTTCATTATCTAAAAGTAGATGTGAAATTTAATAATAATAATATCATAGT